TATTGAAATTAGAGGCGAAAATTGACTTTGGCCATTTTAATAAAGTTACGTCCCCAGTTTTAATTGATTGTGTCTTCTACCGCCGACATGTTCTTCGACAATTGTTGGTGTTGGTTGGATCCCAAATTGGTTATAAGACTCGCCAGCTGTGATCAAGAATTGATGCCGTTTTTTTAAATTAAAAATATTTTCCTATTGTTCCTATTTCAAACCTGTCCTTAAATATCGATTTATTGATTTCTCATATTTGGTCGTAGAGGTACAGCCTACACCACGCTGACGAGGGCCAACAGCCCGAAACGCGTACGTGGTTGGCTTTTCTTGATTTATCAAGAGAATGGGTTGGTCAAAATAACAGGAAACAAGTTAAATCAACGTTTGTTGTATATTAAACCAACGTTTCTCAGTTTGACAAAGCTGGTGTTGTGGCTTTGTCACAGACTCGAGTACGCTAGATTGCGGAGACGGTTGATAGATGGCGCTTAGTCTTTTAGTGTCTATTTTGACGGGAGAGGTGACCTTTATTTTTATATATAAAAATGTATAGTATTTTTTTTCTATGTTTCAATCTATTTCTACCTTCTTACATGTACAAATTTTAAACGATCCAATTCAACAAATTGAAAGTCGAGAATTGGTACAAAGTCTCAGGTAGATGGAATTAAAGACCTCAATTCTCTCTAAACTTCCTTATCTTAACTTATTCCGAGATAAATGGTGGCCATTGGTTACAACGGAAGCCGTGGTAGAGATAAGACTTCAATTCTCCACACCATTGGCATTTCTTCAGCTAAACATTTAGAAAATACTGTGACAAATCTTATTTTATATTTTGTTGTGACCCTTGCTTCATCACCATCTTTATGTCTTGTAGTAGGGTGATGAAAATAATGTATTGCTCTAATGTCCATCAATAATTGACAATATGACCAAGAATAAGTATATTGCTACGGCGTTTTATGGTTTCCACAAGTCCATATCTCAGAAGAAGGCCAAGTGACACTCACTCCTCACTTTCTTACTGCTACTCTTTTTGTGTTGTTTTCCTTGCTTCCCTCTTTCTCTTTCTTGTTTTTTCTTCTTTTTCTTCTGTATATATCGTTATTTCCTTTGTCTCACTGCTTTGTTCTTATGCATACCTCTGGTGAATCCTGTATAGGGTCAGTGACCCTGAATAAAGGCTTTTTGTTGTTGTTGTTGTTGTATTACTCTAATGAATATTTAAAGGGAGAGATACCACTTTTGCTTACATGAATATCATCCAACTTTATATTGTAATATGGTCTGATAATTTGATTAATTCGACCGATTTTATAACCCATCTCGTAGGATGTTATGTAATTGAAGCCATCTCTGTACTGATGAAGAACATAAACCCGAAACAATGGTATACAGGTTGTTGGCTTTTGTCTGAATCTTCTAAAAATGGTGTGTTGTAGCTCATTATTTATCCCCACTTCTACGCATTTTACTGGGGTATGGAACAAAGTGCATTATTCTAATGCGTATTTAAAGGGAGATGTACCACTTTTGGTGCACACATATATATATAAAAGGATTTAAAAGCGCGAATGTTTCTTTTATACATAATACAAACTTCTACTGTCCTTACTGCGATGAAAAAAATATATTGGGAGGGCTTGGCTCATCAGTGGTGAACCCTCCCAGCGGTTTCGCCAATTTAATCCACCAGACCGCTTCTCAGAGCTCTAAAACTGTATTGGATCACCACTGATGAGCCAAGCCCTCCCAATATATTTTTTTCATCGCAGTAAGGACAGTAGAAGTTTGTATTATGTATAAAAGAAACATTCGCGCTTTTAAATCCTTTTATTTTATATATTATAGATTGCGCGTTATTGCTTTGTATTAATATATATATATAAGCATAGGACGCCTCTCTAGTCAAAATAAACGTCAAACTAGACGCCATTTTATAACCGTCGACGTAAACTAGCGGCCTCGGGTCGGTGACAAAGCCACAACACCAGCTTTGGAAAACTGAAAAGCGTCTATCTAGAGACCATGGTTTCTGGCTAATGGCCCTCTTGAGGTCAGTGTGGGCTTTATTCCATGAGATCCACAAGGGATCAAACGAAATCTTCACCATCTACCAAAGATGTGTTTAGCTGGTAGAGTGGCTAAGCCAAATCTATATCAAAATTATAGATGGAAATTTTGCCTGGAGGACATTGATTTATAATAGGTCGTCTCTCCCGTCAAAATAGAAACTAAAGCTAAACACCATTTTAGCGTCTATTTTGACGGGAGAGGCGACCTTTATTTTTTATAGATACCCACAAATAATAAGTCGGTGGATGAGAGGGTAACACGCTCGATTCCCGACAGTCATTAACCGGGATTGGATCCCGCGTTAAAGTTTTGTTTAATATGTGAATACCCTTCACATATTATTCATTGTTCAATTATCATGAACTAGGTTGCTCTTGCTGAGCGGTACCTATTTATGTGAATTTGAACCAAAGATACCCACAAGAGAATTTACCATCTATAACTATATATAATGTTTGTCACACAATAAAGTTGAAAATATAAGCATCGTGTTCACACACAATGAAATATTAATTAGACACAATTATAAATATATATTTTTTCACATTGTGTCGGATCTCACGCAATTCTGGCCTTAAATACCCGTTTCATGATTTTTCAGGATGCCTGAATGACCAGTTTCTTAGTCGTTGAGGTACAGCTTGCACCACGCTGATGAGGGCCAACAGCCCGAAATGCGTCCGTGGTTAGCTTTTCTTAATTAATTAAGAATGGGTATTTGGCTAATTCTGGAATAATTGAAAAATCAACGAGAATAGTTGATATTTATTCCGATAGATGGCGCAAGCCATCAGCAACTTTCAGTTGCACGATAAGGAGATGCCTTTTTTCACAATTATAAATATATATATATATATATTTTTAATATTTGCACATGTATTATATTTATGTTAATTTGAAGTCTCGAGATATCATTCAGCCAGCACGTATCATCCACCAGGCACGTATATTTTCAAATAAATTGTTTTTCACACACAAAGAATGTAATATATATTTACTCTCTCTTCCAATATCATAAATATTTAAAATACAGTGGACCCTCGGTTTACGAGCACCTTGGAGTACGAGCTTTTCGCAGTACGAGCAAAATTTTTTGAAAAATTTTACCTCGGATTACGAGTGAAATTTCGCATTACGAGCAACTTGTGATGGTTGCCCGTAATCGTGATGGATGAAAATTCACTGGGATCCCTCCCTTCAGATCAGATTCGGGAAATATGTAAAATGTGGGAAACTGTGCAATTGTTCGTAGCAAGAAGAATTGCCCGAGTTTCAATTATTAAAAATAAGAAATTAGTTTCGCACTACGAGCGTTTTGGAGTACGAGCATGGCTCTGGAACGGATTATGCTCGCAAACCGAGGGTCCACTGTATGTAAATAATAATGAAATATATAAAAATAGTATATATCATCAATTTATTATCGTGCTACTTCTGTTGAAGGACTGACAAGTCCGAAAGCTTGAAAATAAAAAGTTGAACAAGAAACTTAGCCTTGGAAGCTTTATTCATTTTAAATAATGTATTTTTTTTTTCTTATCCCTAGTACACGTGGTACAAGCCATGATAATCATGGTGGGTAGTTACGACTGCTTTTACTGTAAGCGCACCACATGTCTACACATGTGAAAAACAATTCGACTTTGCGCTTACAAATGTGCCAGAGCCCCGTTTGGTTACTTGCACTCGCTGGTGGGGTTGGACTTTTTCAAGAATCGGGGGCCATTGGAGCATTTATTTTTAAACAGAAAAAGTGTCCAATGCGGGAATCGAACCCGGGTCGTAGTGGTCGAAAACCAAAAGGTTTAACCAGCTTTCCACCGACCCCCCGGGTGGAACCCCCCCCCCCCACATGTATTATATTACACACAATTAAACAAGAAAATATATATTTATATTAATCTCCATTTAAAAATAAGATTCTGTTCGTGTTTTGAGAATATATATGAAGATAAAATTGATATTAATATATATGAATGTGAAATCAATATTTTTCACTTTTTTTTTCTTATTGAGAAATAATTAAGTGTTTTTATTAACGTAAAAGAATAGAATTTCAAATTTGGAAAACTAATTGTTGTTGCCGAAGTTTTCAAAATGAAAAAGAAATCGTCTGCATAGTTTTATTTTAATTGGTGGCCTAAAAACACGATGAATATTGATGTGGCGAAAACATTCTAAAACACACGGTCTATCAAATTATGCAGCCATTATAAATGGATATATTTTTATGTTACTATATATTTAATATGTGTAGCAAAATTTTAGATGTTATAAATATTCATATACCCTCTCTCTATATAATTGATGATAAATTTTGATTTATTATTTTATAGGCATGCGGAAAATTTCATATTTGATTAATAATGTTTCGAAAGAAAGGATACGTATAGACAAATAAAATAATTTTGATATCTTGTCAATACATGAAAAAGTGCAGTCTGTACTATTTAAAAAAAGATAATTATATACAGTTGAACCTGTCTATAGCTCCTCCTCTCTATACACCCTATTTTGGTGAGTCCCAATAACAATTTATTCCGCCTTCTACATGCTAACAGGTAAGCATTTTAAGGCTCTTTGGTGAGTCCCAAGAGGTGGTTATATAGGCAGGTTTAACTGTATATGTTATTATGATATACTAGCGCGCCATCTGTTATGAAAATTCGAAACTATTTTAGACGCGTAAGACGCCAGGCCCTCCCATTAATTTTACAGTTACAGTAAGGCCAGTAGAAATTGTTTAATTTTAAAAAGAATCTTACGCGTCTAAAATAGCTTCGAATTTTTTTAAATATATGTGTTATATAAAAATTATATTTTAAGATTATTAATCCTAGAACAGACTACTCTGTTTATATCTACCACCAGATGTCGCGACTTTCCTCATATAAATTTATTGTTGTTGTTTCCCGTTGGCCTTACCTACGGTCATACCACATTAAAAACTCCGGTTCTCGTCCGATCACCGAAGTTAAGCAATGTCGGGCCCGGTCAGTACTTGGGAGGGTGACCACCTGGGAACACCGGGTGCTGTAGGCTATTACATTTCCCCTCCAACAGTGCAATGTATATAGTGCTTTGTATATATTCCGCTTTATGCGTCCATCGGGGCTCAAAAATCATCCATTCTGGTTAGCAGCCCCGTAAATAAAGATATTTCCGTTTCCCGTTGGCCGGCTCAAATATTTTGTAATTATGTAAATATGCCTTTCATTTTTTATTCTTACGGCTTAAGTCAGGCATTACTTTTCTCAATTTATGTTTTCACGTTCCATAAGCTAAATTAAAGCGATAATGATCTATTTTATTATTCCCACGACTGCAAAACAGTATCATAATGATCAAACAACACACTTATACACACAAAAGCAAAATCTATTCTCAACTATAACAAAATCAATAGCAGAAATCATTTTTTCTTAATATATATATACATAACACTATGTGAGCAATAGTTACCGAGAAATTATTTGAAAAAGTAAAAATTGAATCAGGTAAATAGTTTCTTTTTATTTATATTTGCTAGCTTTCGAGCAAATTAACTGCTCTTCAACGGGCTGATATTCTTTGTACAAACTCAAAATATTATTTATACACAGTAAAATTGAAACGTTAGGTTTGGATTGAAGGAATGTCTATGGATGAATGAAATCGGGTAACCTAACGCTGTTAAATGGTTGGTGATGTTGGTCTGTTCTATAGTTTTAAAACATGGTAGTGAGCAATGGGTGAAAATACGTTTGGTGAGTGTTTTTACTACAGTGATTTTATGGCTAATGGGGCAAAATGAGGTATAGTGGGTATAGGAGGGGTTCATGTGCTTTTTGTAAAAAACTGTCGTATGAAACTTGTACCATTCCTTATTCTAAAGTCAATACTACAATAGCTCATGAGTTAAATAAATATGGTATAGCCACCTATTTTAGCACCCATGCCAATATCGGTTCTTTGCTGAGAAATCCAATTACCAAAAATATTAGTTCCGATCCCCTATCTAAATCTAATGCAATATACTCTGTTAAATGTAACCAATGTAATGCCACATATGTAGGAGAAACCAGTAGGACAATAGACACCAGACTAAAAGAACACGAGAGAAACATAAGATACAAAGACAATAGATCCTTAATATATCAACACACCAGCACCACTGGACACACATTCAATCTCAAACAAGCAATAGCCCATTATCAAGACATAGAAAGAAAACAACAACGATTATTCCTAGAAGCACTGGTATCATCAAAAATAAATAGCATCAATAGAAAAATTGACCTCCCAACCCAATATAAAAATATCCCTGACAAATAATCTAAATACTAATAATTATTGGAATCTAAATATATTTAATCCCAATATAATATCTATTACTTTAGCTGGAAACAATCTGATGCACGCCGCGAGAGCACATGCTAATAACAAAATATTTTCAATTTTACTGTGTATAAATATTATTTTGAGTTTGTACAAAGAATATCAGCCCGTTGAAGAGCAGTTAATTTGCTCGAAAGCTAGCAAATATAAATAAAAAGAAACTATTTACCTGATTCAATTTTTACTTTTTCAAACATAACACTATAATACAATATAATGCGGCTTATGATTGTAGAACGACATTTGAAAATTATCCCGCATGTGTTTCTTTTTGAACGAAAAATCGAAATTTATTTTAAGGAGAAAAACGATTATTTCTAACCTTAGGGATGAGGTATGAAAAGATGAATTGTGAAGAGTAATGATAAACGGACATCCCTGGACACTTTATTTTTCCGTTTATCATTACTCTTCACAATTCATCCTATCATACTTAATCCTTAAGGTAAGAAATATTCGTTATTTTCTTTAAAATAAATTTAGATTTTTCGTTCAAAAATAAACACATGCGGGATAATTTTCAAATGTCGTTCTACATAACACTATGTACAATTAATATGGCGCCTCTGCCAGCGCTGTTTGGTGGAGAATCACCAGCGGGTCTCCAGCGACCCCACGTATTTAACGATCTACGAAGAAAACGTAGATCACGTACTCCGGGATACGTATATGTTCTCTCTTGGTAATTTAGAACGGTAAAATGACACCACTAAGCGTTTCTTTTATTTAGTATTCATTTTAGAATTACATATCAATGTAAATTATCTCTCATCAGTGAAAGACAATTAAAAAAAATATTTTCTTAATAATTTAATAAAATAAAAATAATGCTTTCTCTCCATAGCTGATAAGTCCGAAAAAACTTGAGAAATTAATTTACACAAGAATCTGGTTCCAAAATCACTTTACTAGCTACCACTCAAAAAGAGCAACCTAGCTTATGATATTTACAACAATCAATAATATGTGTGAAGGTTATTCACATATTAAAACAAAGTGTCCAATGCGGGATACGATCCCGGTTCATGGCTGTCAGGAATCGAGGGTGTTAACCACTCGTCCACCGACTTCTTTTTACACAAGAAACGACCTCGCGAAAGAGGCCTTTCTCGATACCAAAAAAGGACTGCTTTTATCCAGCTTACAATAGTATTTGAAAATAATTGAGACGAATATATTCAAAGGTCTTCAGTTTTATTGTCGGGATGTGTAATTTGTCACATTATCTTACACTTATAATATACAACAACAACAACAAAAAGCCTTTATTTAGGGTCACTGACCCTATACAGGATTCACCAGAGGTATGCATAAGAACAAAGCAGTGAGACAAAGGAAACAACGATAAAGACAGAAGAAAAAGAAAAAAAAAAAGAGAAACAAAAAACAAGAAAGAGAAAGAGGGAAGCAAGAAAAACAACACAAAAAGAGTAGCAGTAAGAAAGTGAGGAGTGAGTGTCACTTGGCCTTCTTCTGAGATATGGACTTGTGGAAACCATAAAACGCCGTAGCAATATACTTATCCTGGGTCGTATTGTCAATTATTGATGGAAGTGAAGCACAGAGTTGCCCAGTTTTGAGCATAAGGGTTCTTCTTTCTTCTTTCAGAGCAGAGCAATAAAAATATAGTGATTGATTTCATTTTTTAGTTTTGAATTACAGAAGGTACAAATCGGGTCCTCACCGCAGAGCATCTTAGGGTGGTTTTCTCTAAAAAAAACTTGAAAGTATTCTAACTTGTGCGAGTAGTCTTACAACCGGGAAAGGAAAATCCCCTAAAAGGTATCCCTCCGTCATGAAAGATATGTGAATGTCTTTGTAGTGAAAGATTCTACGAAGTTTTGTCCTGGAACAAAGTATTCCTGGGTTGCAGACAAGGCTATATCTTTTAAAGGCAACTTGAGAGATTTAGCCATTTTACCATTGACGGGCTCCACATTGGACTCACAAGTCGAAAGGCTTACAATTGAAATCCAAACGGCAATGTCAAGAGCAGGGATGAGACGTGAGATAAGATCTGGTGGTTTGAGGTCTAAACCGTGGTACGATGAGGAATGTTATACGGCTAAGAAAAAATTGAAAGAAAGTCTTAAACTGTATTTATTACAAAATAATGTAGTTAACAAAGATTTGTTTATCACACACACAAGCAAGAAAGAATATTTATCATTAATTAAACTTAAAAAGAACCAATACTTTGATGATATACAGAATGCCCTCTGTAATGCTAGAAACGCTTCTCAATTTTGGAAGATAATAAAATCTTTTAAGCAAAGAACCACAATTAAAGGCAACATCCCGATGTGTGATTGGGAGGATTTTTATCGAAGACTGCTGTCTTCCCCACCTATAATGGACGCGTATATATCACCGGCGCTAACATATATGGACCCGGATCTGGATGCTGAAATTTCGCTTATGGAGGTCACCACGGAAATATCCAATCTGGGGAAAGATAAAGCAACGGGACTGGATAACATACCAAATGAAGCAATCAAAGTTTTACCTGACGAATATTTGATTCTATTAACAAATATATACAACAAAATATTGACGACATCCTCGGTTCCATCAGTGTGGACTAGAACAATTATTCATCCTATTTTCAAAAATGGCGACCCAAATATACCATCAAACTATAGAGGAATATCATTGCTATCCAATTTATCAAAGCTCTTTACATCCATATTAAAGACAAGATTGAATAATTGGATTGAAAGAAGGAGAATCTTAGCGGAAAACCAAGCGGGCTTCAGAAGTGGATATTCCTGTCAAGACCATATTTTTACCCTTACCTCACTGATACAGATGACGCTGAGCCGCAAAAGGAGGAAGTCATATGCCTTTTTCGTAGATGTCAAAAAGGCCTTTGATACAGTACCACACTCCCTGCTTTGGAAAAAGTTGACAGTTTACGGTTTAAGTACCCGATTTATCAGCCTTATACAAAGCTATTATAATCAAATGTCAGCAACAATAAGATGGAACGGATCACTTACAGAATTTATAAAAATACAAGCTGGTGTTCTACAAGGTGAACCCCTGTCACCTTATCTATTTATCCTTTTTCTAAACGACTTGGTTTCTCTGTACGATGACGCTGATTTGTCAAGTATTTATTTACCGAATTATGGAAATATACATCTCCTTCTGTTCGCAGACGACATCGTACTTCTCGGAGAATCCAAGATAAATTTACAACAAAAGATCAATGTACTCAGAAAATACTTCGAAGATAATTTTTTAACACTGAACCAGAGCAAATCAAAGGTTATGGTGTTTAGAAATGGAGGTCGAAAGGCCCGATCGGATGTTTGGTTCTGGGGAAAGTTGCCTCTCACTATAACATCTAAATACACGTATCTGGGTTACCAGCTGACAGCGTCAAACTCAACTCAACAGGCGGCAAAGCATTTTAAAAACAAGGCGCTAAATGTTATTAATGCGGTCTGGGCAATATCGACTAAAACAAGAATCAATTCTATCAGTTCCTCACTCAAGCTTCTAGACTCAATGGCTCTGTCAACCTTGCTCTACGCAGCTCCAATTGGGGCAAACAACCAAAAAAACTTGGCTGACAGGGTACAAGACAATTTCTTACGGAGACTTCTAAATTTACCCAGATATACTTCTGGTTTTATTCTACGTATGGAGTGCGGAAGAAC